ATGCAGCATTCTACGATTTAGTCTTGTAGGACACAAGAATCCTCCTAGCAGGACTGAATGTAGTCACATAGATGGGCCCACCCACTTGTTGATACCTTCATACTAGGATTGGGATTTATCTCCCAAAATATGTTTTATTGTTTTTAAAACAGTGAATTTCTGTTTAAAATAAACATGTTTCAAGTGTGATACACAGGTGCATAATACCTTCAGGATTTCTGAAACTGACTAAAAGAGGTGGAAGAATAAAAAGAGGCATATTGCCTTTTTTAAAAAAAAGATTTATTTTATTTATCTGAAAGACAGAGTTACAGAGAGAGGCAGAGACAGAGAGAGAGAGGTCCTCCATTTGCTGGTTTACACCCCAGATGGCCGCAACGGCCGGAGCTGCGCCGATCTGAAGCCAGTAGCCAGGAGCTCCCTCCGGGTCCCCCACATGGGTACAGGGGCCCAAGGACTTGGGCCATCCTCCACCGCATTCCCAGGCCACAGCAGAGAGCTGGATGGGAAGAAGAGCAGCTGGGACTAGAACCGGCACCCATATGGGATGCCGGCACCTCAGGCTAGGGCTTTATCTCCCTGTGCCACAGCGCCAGCCCCAGCATATTACCTTTATATTGTTAACTTTGAAATCACCAAATTAGGGAAGATAATGTTTAGTGTTAACATTTTAAAATTTTTTCTGTTAATAATATAGAAATACAAAGATTTATTACGCTTAAATAAAATCCAGAGCTCTTCAACTGTGTGTATACCAACATGGGGTGATCAGCATGAATTCTGTCATTTGTTATAGTGATACCTCCCACACAATGTTTCCATACCTATTTTGTCTCATCACTCAAATATATATAATATTCATGAGCTGTTACAAACTTTTTTGGGATCCATAACCCTGTTCTCTACCATATTTAGTGCATTATAAAATATTTTCTTGAAATCAGCATTTGGGGGAATTGGTAAAAGAAAACTGTAATTGGATGCTCACATTTTTCAACACAATACGAAAGATGAAAGTGGTCATCTTTGATGTTCAAAGCTACAAAATGATTCACCAATGTTTCTTTTGAAAAGAACTTGAAAAAAAAAAAACCCTTTTACATCAAATGCACTTTTTGAATAAAACACACAACTGGATAAAAAGTGAAATGCTACCTACTGAATCATTCAGATGTTTTGGTTACTTGGTTAAAGGGAAATAAGCATTAATGCATTACTATTATGATTTATTTATGAAGGTATTTCAAAAAGTGTGTGAAAATGGACTGAAAAGATGTTTGTCTTGTTGCAAAAAATAGGAATGAAATCGTGCAGAGTTTTTCAGAGCATGCATTTTCCATGAAATTTTGAAGATTCCTCATACTTTTTTCATTAAATAATGCCTGGATATAATTACCAAGGAGCAAACATAGGCTTTGCTTCCAATAATAACATGCTCAGAACAGCTATAATCAAAAAGAGAAAGTGGCCGGCGCCGTGGCTCAATAGGCTAATCCTCCGCCTTTCAGCGCCGGCACAACGGGTTCTAGTCCCATTCGGGGTGCCGGATTCTGTCCCGGTTGCCCCTCTTCCAGGCCAGCTCTCTGCCATGGCCCGGGAGTGCAGTGGAGGATGGCCCAAGTGCTTGGGCCCTGCACCCCATGGGAGACCAGGAGAAGCACCTGGCTCCTGCCTTCGGATCAGTGTGGTGCGCTGGCTGCAGCGTGCCGGCCGCGGCAGCCATTGGAGGGTGAACCAACGGCAAAAGGAAGACCTTTCTCTCTGTCTCTCTCTCTCACTGTCCATTCTGCCTGTCCAAAAAAAAAAAAAAGAGAGAGAGAAAGTGAATATTGCCATAGAAGAAAAACAACACATCATGTGCTATGAAGAGTCCAGATTGAGGAGAGAGATTCATTCCTGTTAGCAGGATGAACAAACTAAATGAAGGATATTTGAATGGGACCACTACAAATAAGGCCAATTTAGGTTCAAAAAAGTGAAGAGAAACAGGAGGACAAAACAAAATTGAGAAGAACAAAACCAAGCCAATGGGAGCCAGAGTGAGAGGTAGAAGTCAGCACCTGAAGGAGAATTATAAGAGACAAATTTTGAAAAGGGCAGGAGCATAAAGAACTTTGAGACATACACAAAAGAACTGAACTGAAATCAGTAGATGTATTGATATTACAGAAGTTCTGGTCTCAAATATTAAGTCCTTAAAACACTTTATTCATTAAAAAGCTTGTATTAGTGAAACTTCAGCTCAATTTAATAAAATTGAATATTTCTTATTTGCTCTGTTTAAGCAGAAATTAGTATACACATGGGTTGTTTCAATATTTTTGTGTTTTATCACACTTTATCTGTTGCTATGGACCAGTGGAAAAGGAAGGTCCATTTTGCATTTTAGTTTAATAATTGAATTCATTTTCAAAAAGTACCCAAATGTCTGGCTGTCTATCTCTGTACTACTCTACATGCCAAGATTGAATAATTCAATCAGGCACAGATGTTCTGTTAGAATAATGACAAACACCTAGATTCATTTGAGTCAGTAACCCAAATTCTAACTTCCTGAAATTTCTGTAGCCTCCATCTTAGATGTACTCTTGCTTGGCAGAGATATTAGATAAACTTAGACTTCTTCCACTACATGTATATGTCCTCTGGCTTTAGTGTATTTCTTTTTTGTATTTCTAATAAAATACTATTTGTTTGCATTCAAAACATTGACAATACTTGTACAACATTTTCAAATGAGATTTCTATTCAAGGCAATAACCAAGAAGAAAAAAGCTATATCCCATTAAATTTATTTGTAGCTTTGTTCTTTTCTTCTGCTTATGTTTAACATTTGTGAACTCATTTTTCAAATTTGCTGGAAGAGGAATAGAACTAGAAATTGCACCATGTGAAACCAAAGTTGATGAAAGAAAAAATGGACTTTTTAAAATGTAAATAATAAGATATCATATCTATAACAGGCTTTATGATACACTGTGAGGTTGCTTTTGAATGAAAATTGTTTTATTTTGGTAAAGATAAGTTGACTAAAAACTGTCTTTCAATGTTTGTCTTTGAAAATTGTATTGAGATTTTTCAGATGACATTAATTTTCATTCTAATTTTTAATTCTGTGTCATACTAAAAATCAAATATAGTTGTCTAGATTATATAATGCCAATCAAAAACATAACAGTTTTCTTTTGTTTACAGTCAATTAACTAGTTTGGCTTATTCCATGGTTGATTGTATAGTTTAATTTTTATATGTTCAGAATTTACATCCACGTCATTTTACCTTTTTAAATTATACTTTAACACTCATTACACTATTAGGATTTCTTCTACATAAATTGAAGAAAATATTAAACAAACATCATAATTATTCTTTCTGCAAATCTATTCTTTCTTCTTACTAGTAATTCATTTCATAGGTGACTTGTTATTTAACAGCATTCAGACCTTTTTCTAAGTAAATTTCTCAATTTTTAAATACCTGATATACAATTGACTGATTATTAAACTTTTTCTTAATTTCCATATTCTTGGGGATATGCTGATGCAATTGGAATAGATAAGGAAATTCCTAGTGGCTTTAGACAATCTGTTATTGCTGAAATGGAAGAAATGAGAGGAAAGCTAAGCCTATGAAAAATGTTACTATAGCTACCCCAATAGTGAATTTTTGTCCTCAAATGGTTTCCCACACAGTGTCTATATTTTTCATTTCATTGTATTTTCTTAATAAAAATTCCATCAGATTAAGAATAATTGAGATTTTATGCATTTTCTTTTTTAAAAATATAAAACCAACTGTTCATCCAGTACTATGAATCTAAGAAATTCCTGATAGAACAGGAATGTATTTATGGAACAGAGAGACTAGAACATGTCTACCTTTAGAAAAGAATTCAAGGTAAATTCATTGTCAAGAACTGTATAATCTCAGATAGCAGGGAAAAAACGCTGGGAAAGTCTTGAAGAAGTGACAGTACAGCAAATCAAATCGGGAGAGCAAGATGAGTGAGTCACTGGGCTCCTGTAATTGTAATCTTAGGAGATAGGCATTGCTGACTCACTGTTTTCAAATAGGATTAGTACAGTGCTCTGTCCAGTTACTACAGAATGGGTTGAGAGCATGACTAAAGTCCAAACTCTGGCAAAAGATAAATATCAACACTTTCAAAAACTTGCCAGAGAAACATCCCCACCCCACAAAATAAAAGGAAACACTTGCTTTTTCCTCCTTCATTTTGCATCAAAACTTCCTCCCAAATCTCTAAATCTAGAGCTCTGTTAATAGTATTAATATCATATACCTACTGCATAATTTATAGCACAGATACAAATTTACAGTGTATTCTGTTTGAATTCTTATATTCAAAAATAAAATTTATGAAAATTTTGAAATAAATCCCAATCATAAACCAGGAAATGCCTGAAGGAAACATGTATCTTTAAATCTGATCATCCTGCTAGAGATAGTTGATTGAGCTATCTGCAAACAAGCACAGGATTTCCAATCACTTGTGGAAATTACGTATCCTTTGTTACATCTTTCCTTCTAAGGAGAAAAACAGATTATTGGTTATTATGCAGAGAAGAATTAAATGATATCCCTTATCTTGCTATTTCTACCAGTAAAAGTCTAAACTCTTTTCTTTAGGAAATAACTAAAATTCTCATTTCTTTTCTATATCCCAATTACAAAACTACACAAAGAAATCACAAAAAATAATAGGTTAGTTACATACTATTTAACTCGATTGAAATACGAAATGCTTTTTCCTTAGAAGTGATTGGTTTTCCTTTATGTCCAACAAAAACTGTACAGTATTCAGTGTTGCCTCTGCATCATTAGTTAAGGAAATGAAAATGAAAATCAAGCTGAGAAATGTATAATTGTTACTATAGCTGTTTCTGTACCCATGTAGGTTAGGAACCCCTTTAATTATGCATTTGGAGATCATGTAAGCTTCATTTATTGACTGTGGTGTTGATTCTTCCCACACCATGCAGCAAAGCCTACCAATCACCGTCCTGCAGAAGGCTCCGTGTCCACTGGCTCCTCGGGCAGCAGCTTTGGCAGTGGGTATAGCATGGACAGCGAGGGAAGCAGCAGCACTACAGGAGAGACTAATCTATTTCCTATTCCAAGGATGTAAGTGTATTTTTTTTTCTACAGTGTTAACAGCATCGTGAGTAACATATTCTTAACATTTAGCAGGAAAAAGCTAGCTCATTATTGGATTCTGAGTCATTGACCCTAAAACACTTGAACTGTTTGTGCCTACATAAAAATAGGTAAAGACTGGATTAATTCACTTATTTCTGAGAATGATTGCTAGTCACTATAAGGACTACTTACTCTATGCAATGGATGCATCTACTATAAAAATTGCTGAAATACTGACTTGGCTATGCAGAATAAAGTTCAGCAGCAGTGCACTGGTGTTGCAATCATTTAATGACCAAACACAACCATTGTTGGTATTTGAGATAACATAGATTAATTTACTTTGAATCAGGAGAGATTTAACAAAGCCAAAGGACACGTATATCATGTTGGAAACACACACATGGAGCTAATCAGTTAAGCTTTTCAACTGTAAATCCTTGGTGATTAAAATGGAAGGTTTTGAAGGATTTCTATATTTCCTAGAACAAATATGGAGGAGTTTGTTCATAATGTTAGATCTCAGGAAACTCATTTTGCTAATCAAATGTAAAACTAAAGCAGGTTGTTTTTAGAATGAGTTAGAATAAGTTTAGTCATATTGGTGGTAAATTTAGTAGCATTCAAAATGAATGAATATGTTATGTCTGTATCAAAATCTAATATCAAAATCCAAACTTCTGGAACTTTCCTTCTCCTCCCCATTAACTAGCCTGGGTTTTGAAAGATGCCACTGGGCTAGGATACAGGACAAGATCAATCCAGCAGACTGCCTGGTTTTGTAAGACTTGTAAAATAAAAATTACTTTTTGCATTTTTAAATGTTTTGGGCACTTTTTTAAAAAAAATAATATTTTGTAACATAGAAAAATGAAATGAAATTTAAGCTTTAGCAAACATGAACTAAATCGTTTTGGAACATAGTCACATCCATTAGTTTATATGTTGCCTGATGCTGCTTTTGAATGATAAGGGCAGAATTGAGGCGTTATAATAGAGACCACCAAAAATATTTTCAGACCCCGACTCGGGCTCTTGTTAAAGGTAGTTTTCATTTCCTCCAGTGTTGAGTGAAGCTTTCCTGAGGAAGAGGATTTCTATTTCTCTTAATATCAAGTTTTTATAAATCTTTCCATTTGATCCCTGGTATAGTTCCAATATAAAATATAGATACTGAATCAGGTTACAAAAGGAAGTGGAAAAATGGATTTTACAGGGAATAACATGTTTATTTTGTGGTTCTTAAGCTATATTTTTCCAACATAAATTAAGCAAATGTGTCATCTGTCCACCTAAAGGGTTTATTTTTGTTTTTGAAATTTTATGGATTCAATAGTTATTTGCACATAATTAGTTCTATTTTGTTGGAAACTACTTCTAAAAAGAATCTGATCTCATTAGTTTTTGTCTCTGATGATCCAGTTCAGCTAACAACAAATCTGCAATTTCATCACATTTCTCTCTAAGCTGTGAATGTCATGAATCTGTAAAAATTTTGTACCATGCATATTTTGAATCCTTTCCATGTATCTGTAACTTTCAAAATATGTCATTTAACTCTGATGATAAAGTTATAGCATCCAGAGAATAAACTGTGTTATTTCCTCAATATCTGAATGTCTGAGGTAGAAGTAAATGGTGTACAATTTTACACACAAACCATATGCCACTTTTCTCCCACATTTCCCTGTTTCTCTTATAAGCCAAAGCTTCCCACGAATGTCTGGAGACAACCGTTTTGCCATAGGAGCACATAGAAAATTCACTTACTTACATAAGAAAACATATATATATGTGTGTGTGTGTGTGTGTGTGTGTGTGTGTGTGTGTATGTTTTTTTATAAACATATATAAGAAATATATAGTGGCCAGTGATGTGGCATAGTGGGTAAAGCCACCACCTGCTATGCCTGCATCACATATGGGAACTGGTTCATGTCCCAGCTGCTTTACTTTAATCCAAAGCTCCCTACTAATGGCTTATGTAAAGCAGAAGAAGATGGCCCAAATGCTTGGGGCCCTGTCATCCACATGGGAGAGCTGGATGAAGCTTCTGGCTTCTGGCTTGGCATGGCTCAGCCCTGGCCATTGCAGCCATCTGGGGAGGAAACCATCAGATGGAAGATCTCTCTTCTCTGTTTTTGTCCCTCTTTCTCTGTAATTCTGAATTTCAAATACATAAACAAATCTTAAAAAATTATAAACATCTCTAAGAAATAGTATAAGCATATGTAAAAATAGTATTTGGTAGCTGTTGCTTGGGCCAGTGTATAGATATAGATAAAGATATAGATATAGATATTTAATGACTGATTAAACATGTGAATTATAAAATATATAGTAAGAATTTTTGAGCTGAAGAATACTTATTGGGAATTTAGAAGAATCACACTCCTCATGTGATCTACAGTTACGTTTCCCTTGAACTTCACTTGGATTCACAAGCCACTAATATCCTTGTATAATCTTCAAAATGCACTTACCACATATTTTCGTTAAGTATCTAAGGTTAACAATCTATTTTCATTAGAAGCAAAGGCTGTAGCTAGATATCACCACCAAAATGTGAAATCTATGACTAAAGAACAAATCTAAAAATTATCAAAAATTATTTCTTTATAATTACTGAAATTATGCTTTTTTATTGACACATGATATTTGTATAAATTTGTGAGGTACATTGATTTTTTTTATTTTTTAAAGATTTTTATGTATTTGAAAGGCAGAGGGGCAGAGAGTGAAAGAGAAAGAGTGAGAATCTTCCATTTTCTTGTTCACTCCCGAAAAGGTCACAATGGCTGGAGCTAGGCCAATCTGAAGCCAGGAGCCAGGAGTTCTTCTGGGTCTCCCATGCAGCTTCAGGGGCCCAAAGACTTGCACCATTTTCCAATGCTTTCTCAGGACATAGCAGAGAGAGCTGGATCAGAAGTGGAGCATCTGGGACTGGAATTGGCACCCATATGGGTGCAGGAACTGCAGACAGCAGATTTACCCACTAGGCCATATCACCTGCCTCCCTTATATTTTGATTTGTGTACAAACAAGGTAGGAGCAACTCAGGGTAATTAGCATATCCAATGTCTTAAACTTTCATCATTTCTTTATAATGAGTGCATTGAAAATCTTGTCTTCTACCTATTCTGAGATGTATAATGCATTATCGTGAATTATAATCACTTCGATGTAACATAGAACACTAGAACTTTTTCTTCCATTTGAACTGTAATACTGTACCCATTGACCAACTTGTCACTATCCACCTTCCCTCATAATCTCCCCACTCTGGTGACCATTGTTGTATGCTTAACTTTTATTAGATAAATGGTTTCACATATATGTTATATTATGTGGTGTTTTCTTCCTGTACCTGCCTTACTTCACATAACATAAAGTCCTCCAGGTCCATCCATGTTGTTGCAAATGACAGAATCTCATGTTTTCCATGTCTGAATAGTAGTCCATTGTATGTATAAATCGTATTTTCTTTATCCATTCACCCATTAATATTAATGACCAAGTTCATAAGTTTGGCATAGTATGCAGTGGTAACTTTTTTTGGTACTCTGATTAGCTAGATTCATGATACTTAAAAGATCCTCACTTTCAGTAGTTTCCCTCAGGAGCAATATATATATTAACTCACTCTATCAGTAGAGCAGACTTTACTACTTACAGGGAAATTACTGCTAAATCATTAAGCTTTCTTTTGATCTCATAGTAACAGAATGAGAAGAGTTCTTTTTTTTAACTTAACTACTTGTGTTGAATCTAAATTAAGCAACTGAACAAAATGAAGTTTTCTGCACTGCTTAAACAAGAATCCATATAGACACAGAGCACGTGTGTGTGTGTGTGTGTCTGTACTCACACATCTCAAACATGTTAGAAATTACATAATCTGTTTGCACTTGGTGCCTTACATAATCACTTAATAAATACATGTTCAGAAACCTATGACCTAGAATTGCCATAGAATAATTTAATGGCTTTCAAGAGAAAATAATTTCTGGGTCCAAATCCATTTCTCTTTTATTATGGAAGAAAACACGTCAGCATCTTCTATGGAGTAGAAGATTAAGAGGATCTTTGGTGGAGTTTTCAAATAAGACATAATTGGTTCTTAAGAAATAAGTATGGCTACATTTTCAGCAGTCCAGCAAGCCAAATACTTTTTGTGAAAGTAAGAATTAATTTTTAGTAAATCCTGCTATGTTAGAGGTACTGTTTAGGAACCACGATATCAAGATGTTCTCGTGTTAAATAACCTTTTTAATATGTAAGGGATTTATTCCATTTTTTTAGAATGTGTTATCCAAGTACATTGAAGATAATTCTGAAATCTTTTAGATGCAATGTAGCTTCTTTATTGCTGAAGAAACAATAAGTGGCTTACAGTCTTTCGACTCCTACCATTATCCACATTTCAAACTCTCAGTGCTCAAAGGTTCAGGGATTCTTCATCTTGGTGGCTTGCCAAAAAGTTTGAGGTTGAAGCTGAAAGCATGCAACAGATTGAAGCCTTGAATGAACAATGTAGCTTTGCCTACAATACATCGTTCAAGGCTTCTAATTTTTCAAGCACTGTGTTAAATCTTTTATAGACATTTTCCATTCGATTACCTCATAAACAAAAAGATAACTGTCACTAACCTTATGTTACAAAAGCAGACAGTCTTGACCACATAATAAGACATAGCAACTCCTGAAGCAGAGACAAACTTCAAAAGAAGTCTGATTTCAAAGGCCAGCTTGCTCAACATAGCTGAAAACAGGATGAATCTGAACAAAAAAATCATGAATTGTAGGAAAAATATCTGTTATTAGATTATTTATGTATTATTTAATTCAACCTCTTTCTTATCAAAGAGTCCTTCTTGCTTCCAAAATTAAAAAAAGAAAAAAAAGTATCAAAGACTAAAATTTGAGAATGTGATAATGTTCTGATATTTTAATAAATGACTCCACAGCTGAGACTGACTGAATGTTGAGGTATTTTGTTTGGAATAAATAGGAATAATAATCTAGTTTCCAATTTAAAATTGACACCACTTAGAACATGCCATAAACAAGAGTGTCAATTTGTTAAGTCAACAACAGGAGTCACTGTGCACTTACTCCTCATGTAGGATCTCTGTCCTTAGTGTGCTGTACATTGTGACTTAATGCTATAACTAGTACTCAAACAGTATTTTTCACTTTGTGTTTCTATGTGGGTGCAAACTGTTGAAATCTTTACTTAATATATGCTAAACTGATCTTCTGTATATAAAGAGAATTGAAAATGAATCTTGATGTGAATGGAAGGGGAGAAGGAGCGAGAAGGGGGAGGGTTGCGGGTGGGAGGGAAGTTATGGAGGGGGAAGCCATTGTAATCCATAAGCTGTACTTTGAAAATTTATATTTATTAAATAAAAGTTAAAAAAAAGAACAAGTGACTGTGTATACACTTACCTTTCAAACAGTTTGTTACAGGTTGGGATATATAATATTTTAGTTTTGCAAACTTAGCATCCTCATTTGTATTTGGGGGATTACATATGACTAGATATTACATATGACATATATGATTTTATTTAATTTTTAAATAGAGGGAAGATGGGACAGAATGGACAAGAGCCTGTAAAACAGCCAGGAGTAGGAGTAGGACTAGCAGATACTGAGGGTAAGTTGGAATTTATAGTACTGGATTTTAGTTGAGTCTACATATCATATTATAAGTGTTTGTTTTGTTTTTGTTTGAACATAAATGCAAATGTCTAAGTACTAATGGCCTAAGCACTGGGTAGTTAGTTAGTATCACTAAATGAGAATGACTGTATTTGTTTCATGATTTTCCAATTGCATCTTTACATTTAATATTTAAGTACCTTGGATTACTAAAAATATGAATGAGAAAGAGAAATGACAAGAAAAGAAGAAATCATGAAATTTTTTCAAATGCTTGGCTTGAAATATCATGCAAGTAGGAAATCAACTAAGAAATCTCATTTAAATCATAAAAATTCTTAAATACTCTTCTATGAAGCTGAGAAGAAACCAATGGTACAAAAATCATAATTTTTGTACCCTCAAATTATAGAAAATAATTACTGAACTAACCTCTGTTGCTTCAAAATTGTATTTATTTATGGGGTACTGCATGATGTTGTAATGCACATATCCCCACACGCCAGAACGAATCCATCCCACTGGAGCACAAGCTTCCGCCACGGAAGTCAAGTGGCTTGTTCAATGAGCACTGGCCTGGTATTATCTGGGCTGTATCAGATGTTAGATCTCAGGGCGTTGAGCACATGACATCCCTCTTCATTCCACATTCCTTGGAGCTGGGATCTGAGTGACACAAGTGACTCTTTCCTCCTGCTTCCTTCAGTGAGATTCTGGGTATTATACTACAGCCAGGCACTGAGGCCTCTCACCTGGTTTCTGTAGCTCTTGTGAATGTGACCTGGTGGGTGACTTTGCACTTTATATTGGTATCTCAGTGGCCTGGAGCATCTCATGCAACTACCATCTTGCTCCACCCTCTGAACTAACTTCTACACTAAAACTCAAATGTAAGATCGAAGGTGATTTTATTAAACAAATAGTACATTATTAGGAAAATGCAAAAGGAAGTCTTCAGCAGGCGTGGAATAATAGTATCTAAAAGCTGCACAATGAAGAGCTTATCTTTGATAAGATTATGAAAATGTCTTGTAGCTTTGTTATCTTTCATGTCTGCACCAATCTCCATAATTTTAACTCTTCCACGTACTTTACACTATTCTAAGTACTTTTCATGTGTCTGATTTCATTCTTATATTATCTTATGAGGTGAACAGTAACATATACTGGCTGACATGAAAGGAAACTAAAATAAAAACATCACATAAGATCAGAAAAAAATTATCCAAACCCAGGAAAATGATACCTCATGTCATGCTATTTAAAAGAATGATTATGGGAAAGGACATTTGGGAGGAAAATGGTAGACTTGAGTTTCCAATCTGGTGTGTTTCCAGGTATGTGACCTGATTCCTCTATCTTCAGAACCTCATTTGACAAATGCTGGGTCTAAGTGAGAACTCGGTTTCCTCATGGACATTTTTCTATTCTGAAACTCAGAATTCTCGATTTCTCTTTGTGCTCAATCAAAAGCACTGGTTTTGTATCCTGTTGCCCTGTTGCCCAGGACTACTTAATTTCATTTTTCTTTAATGTAAAATCCTTTCTCTTACATTCTCTATAAAAACTCATTAACTCTCTCCTATATGTTGATTAGTTCCTGACCCACTGCTCTAACTAGTCCCTGGAATTCAAACTCAGGTAATTAATGTCTACGAGCCTTTCATGTCCAACCAGGAAAATAGAAACCACTCAACATTTGAAGTAGAAGTTGTTTATGGGTGGTGACTGATTATATACTCATGAGAGAGGCAGAGAATCTGAGTGGAAGACAGTAGAACAGCAGAAGGAAGTTACTTTCCCGGTAGCCCAAGGGCCAGTAAGAGGTGAAACCAGAACAAGCCTATATGGCAGGGAACAAGAAACAAAGCAGAAACACATCTAATTCCAGAAATATATCCTGAGGCAGATGAGAAAGGGGAAAAATATCCCGATTTTTTCCCTCCTTCTGTTCTACACGTCTCCAGCTGACAGGGCTTGATCAAATCCCACTGGAAGCTGGCTCAGAGAAGTCTGGGAGGAGACTTCTCTCAACCTCTTTCTTATCAAAGAAAGGGGAGAGCCTGGGAAGAGAGAGAGGGAAAAGGTACAAGACTGGATTTGAAAGCACCTAAGTATAAAACTAGCACAATGTTTTTCCTGGAAAATTTCTCTATGTTTCAAGCTACCAACACCCCAAGTGTCATTCACTCTTCTCAATCTTCCCTCCTTATCCTCCAAGGTGCCCTGCAATTCACAAAATTCACATCCATTTATATATAATTTGTCTACTTTATCATGGTTGTGATTTCAAGTACCTGTTTCCATGACTGACTCCTTCAAGAGTTTGAGCAACTCCCAGATCAGACGTGTGGTTTATTCATTGTGGTACCACAGCACTTAACAGAAAGTCTTGCCCCCAGATTGCTTAAAGAATGTCCACTGAATGGTTATTGACTGTCATATAACTTTAGAATTCAGGTATATAGAAAACCAAGTTATCTGTAATTTCAGCTACTTAATTTCATCTTTGTAAAGTCTATAACTAAAATTCTTTTAGTATAAAAGTTAACAGCTGTCAAGGAATAGAACTTGTTCATCCTAGTACTGCTTTCTTCTTTTATATTTGTCCCCCACAAAACATGCTTGTTTTCCATAAAGGAGCCAATCAGAGGCTACTTTATTTTTATTTAAACTTGTGAGTCAACATGTTTCTATGTTAGTGAGCTGACCCCGATCAACAGTTGATCTCAGATTAGTTATGGAGCAGAGGGGCGGGGGTTGAAAAAGGGAACAAAATGGAATATGCAATGCAGTATGAGTCATGTATAGTCATGTGCCCTTTTGGTAGCAAAATCTGGACAAGTTGTTTTTAACTGAGTTATTACGTCAGTTATAGATCACTGTCATTGGACAGTGATCAAATTTATAATTTACATACCCACATGACATTATACATATATACCCATATGTATTTATATGTAAAAGATACCTAATAATATAATAGAATAAAACTATAATACAATTAAACCTTTAGAAATTATTTTAAATTATGAAAAATAGAAAGAGAGAACACAGAGAAAATCATTGAATTAGGACTCTATTTGCTCCAGCCAGGGATAAGACATTAATTTAAAAGGCAAGATTTGTTGAGTCCACATAGAAATACAGAATCAACCTCATGTTGTACTTGAAGTATATATATGATGTGTATTTTGTTTTCTTTCTATGATCCAGAGAATTGTCTTCACTTTCATTTGTCGTCAGTAAACATTAACAATCAATTCAGTAGGAAAACAAAAACCAACAAATAAAACAGAGTTAATTCAAACTGTTTATATACAAAATATATAGTTTCATGAATGTATTTTAACTTATTTCAATTCTTTACCAAGGAACCAGAAAAACTGTCTCATTCTAAATAAGCAGAGTTTTCTTGAAACTCTAGGTCCATGCGATGTTACACTTCATCTTCAGTATTAAGCACTTTGTTTAAGGAACATGTTAGTCCCCTCCAATGGAAACTGATAAATGAAGATTTGTAGGAGAGCAGACTTTCACCAAAAGTATAGCAAAGATTTCAAGAAATCACTTGTAAATAATTTGTTCTCATGAATTTTTTATTCTTCTTTTGGCATTACAGGATGTGGAATGAAAAAGTAATGTTTCATAGGGTTGAAATTTTCTGTTAAGCATATTACCGAGGTTTTGTAAAAATGCTGAATAGCCATTTCCTTGCTGTACTTATTAAGCAAGTCTGTTTATTCTGGCTTCTGATTAAAAAATCAATTTCCACTTAGTCATTTTCTCTAATAGTATTTTGTCTTCTTTATAGCATACCCATAAATTTTAATCCCAGCAGGAGATTAATTTAATGGAGCAGGATATGAGACCTAATGAAGGTTCTGTGGTTCTGACCTAATTGTAGAAAAGAAAGTAACACTTTGAACTCTCTGCTGATGAATGGCTGAGTTTCCACAGTTCAAACAAGTATGTAATATAAAGTCCAAGTAAGCCCTGTGTTGCTACAAGGATAATGCCTTTGAAGTGATAGCTGTTGCTAAATTAGAAGGTGGGTTAAAGGACAGCCATTTGGATTCCATCCAAATTAGTGATGTTATTCAGGATTAATAAAAATATCATGCACTTGAGAAAATTAGTGCAAGGCTACTTTTCTTTCTTTCTTTTTTTAAATTTGTTGGACAGGTAGAGTTATAGACAGTGAGAGAGAGAGAGAGAGAGACAGAGAGAAAGGTTTTCCTTCCATTGGTTCACTCCCCAAATGGCTGCTACGGCTGGCACTGCACCGATCTGAAGCCAGGAGCCAGGTGCTTCTTCCTGGTCTCCCATGCAGGTGCAGGGGCCCAAGCACTTGGGCCATCCTCCACTGCCCTCCCGGGCCACAGCAGAGAGCTGGACTGGAAGAGAAGCAACCAGGACTGGAATCAGCACTCATGGGATGCCGGTGCCTCAGGCGGAGGATTAACCAAGTGAGCCATGGTGCCGGCCCAAGGCTTCTTTTATTAAAGATTAGATTAAACCAGTTCACTTTTCAAATTGTACAAATGAGTGCTTTCCCAATGTACATTAAAACCCTCTAATTACACCCTTCAGATAGCCTTTCTAGCCCTGTCCTACATCCCCACCCCACGTGCGTATTTGTTTAGTAACTGCCTGGATTCAATTATTTTCCTAAACCAAAAACTTTAGCAAGTGTTACACTCATAAGCTTCTATGAGGTTTAATTTTCTTGGCTGTATGCATTTAAAAAGCAAATAATACATAATTTATTTTCCTAACTATCTTTGTGAGTTTCAATTTAGTTTCACTAAGAATGGAAGAAATAAACATCTATCATTATAGAAATATGCTAAACTCTACTCTTAAATGTATTCATGTCATTGAAAGTATAAAGAACAACACCATTAATATTAACCCAAAGAGAGAGGAAAGGACAGAGGACAGATATGATTCAATATCTTACAGGACATTTTTATGGTAAAGCATACCCATTAT